TAATCGCGAGTATGTTATCACCTCTAAATAACATGGTAAAAAATATACCGCATGGTGACCTGACCACACTCGCTGTAAATCTTTTACCGGTTTGCCATTACATTTTTGGAACAGTTTAGAATTTCTCAAATAAATGCAAATTATAAATTTAATTGAATTGTTACAAAGACTAACGCAGTGGATTTCATATATTTTTTTTTACCACCCGGTAAAACCTTGTTACCAGATTGCTTAGAGTGTTTCATTGTTGGTGATGTGCTTACGGAGAGAGTGACGAGGAAGATGGTAATTTATTCGCATCTATTTTTTCCTCGTGTTTGTTGGAGGCGTTGGGGAGACAATTTTAGAGATTTAAGAGCATATCAACCCCATCACGCACGTGGAGTGGAGAGTATCCAGTCAGCAACTTTAAACCTTTCTCTCCCATTTTGGCAAGGTCCTTAGCTGGATAGGGGATGGGCGCAAAGAATGTCACAGATTTTGGAATTGGCTATTTGCATGATACTGTAGCAAAATTTACTACATTGGTAATGATTTTGTACCTAACTAGGGCACTAATTGCTCACGAAATGTGTAACCTGGGTGGGACGAGAAATTGGTAGAAAATATTTTTCAATATATTGGCTCCTTTTGGTAGAGAATCGTTGCATAACTATAATAATGCGTAGAAACAATGACAATTTAAAACCTACTCGCCCATAAAGTATGCTATCAAACTGGGCACAATCATATTTATTATAACGTTTGTTATCGAATTGTTTACAGTGACGGGCATAAATTTGATGACAATCTTTCCGCAAGGCTCGTTAAGACCTTATGGAAAATCCAGCTTTCTCCGGAAAAAGTTCCTCAAGCGAAGCCTCTCAACCCAGTCGAAAGTATCAAGATTTACTTTCACCAAAGTTTTCACTGAATGAAGAATCTACTTTATAAATTACGTGCCATTCTTGGTTTGAGTATTTTTGGCCATGTGAAATTTAATAATCACGATGTGTAAAATAATAGGTGCGAGAATATGAATGTTTAGAAAAGTTGAGATGAAAATTCATTCACGATTTTTTTTCAATTCAAGTACGGTGGAAGTTCACTTACCCTTCTACTCAACTTCATCTGTTGTAATTTTAAATACGAATAAAATTTGAAAAACAAAATAAAAACGGTGTGAAAATAAGACAATAAAATTTGTTATGCAAATTATATTCCCAAATTTGCCATTGCTAACGAAAATAACGGATGTTTGCAAATTTCTCGCAAATTGAGCTCGACTAGAATTCAATAGACTTTTATTTCTTTAAGAAGCCCGAAAACTAAACCAAAAATCTTACTTTCAAAATTTGCGCAAGTAAGTATTTTTTTCGAAAATGCGAAATTGAAAGTGAGCCAAATTGCAAAGATGGAGATGGATGAATAATAATGATAATTCGAATATCTGTCTCTCTCCCGAGTTAGGGAGGAGAGGAAGTTGAAGTTTATTCCAGAATCTGCATCTCTCTCTTTGTGTCTCATTTATTAGATTGGAATGGAATTTTCGCTAAGTCTTGAAATCAAAGGATTGCACTACTTTGCTTGGTTTACTTCGGATGTGATTTGCCTCCTTCTGCTTTTATTAAAGAGTCCTTGACTTCAAAATGCTCGCAAAGTGGAACAGGGTTCCGAAAATGGGGATAGTTATAAGTTATACAAGAATATACATTTTTATGACCTATTTTTTTTACCGTCATGCGAAATTATTTTGAAAATTGATTCAAATTTGTTAAAAAATCCCAGAAATTCGTTGTAAATCGTTGAAATTTGTGTAAAACTAGGTTAAAAGTAATTTAAGATGTGATCAAAATTGCAGAAAAAATGGTTAACATTTTCAGAAAACGTTTACACAAATGGTCCCAAAATGCATATTTTCAAAACTCGAAGCCTACAAAATCCTTGATATTTATTTACTCGGAACCCTGGCCCTGTTCTCCTGGTTGTTAGAGTTGAGTGGCTTGTGCTGTGCTGCTGGCTGCCTCCGTCTTATCACTGTTTTCCTGAATTCTCTTTGTATTTGATCAACTAAAGAGCCAATTTACAATTCACTTTCATTTCCTTTCTCCAATCCAGCCAACAGCATTTCTCTTCTCCTCCGTTATATTCCCCAGAATGGAATGAGACTGAAAAGCAAGCCGAGTGGTTGCTGGTTGAAGAAATTGTAGCTCAAAAGCGGACCCAATCTGCAGAGTGAAAGAGATCATATCGCAAAATTATCGCTCAAAGAATGGGAACATTTCTCTCAAATTATTATTCCCACATATGAATACACTGATGACTGAAGAATGTGGGTACTAAATGTGAGCTTGATATTGGTTTGTTACCACAGGGTTTTACCAGCTTGGTAATATATTTTACCAGTCATTTATGCAATATTTGTCACCAGTTGGTTAAAATATGTTTGGTTTCATGTGAATGATTTGTTCAGATATGTTTACCCGATAGATTTTTTCTGTATGTCGGGTTTTGCAAACGGTCTCGTAACATTTGTGCCACTTGCTAACACCGATTGGTAACAAATTTAGATTTCCAAAAAATAAGTTCCAATTTGCTACTTTTATAAACCGGTAAAGATCCTTACTAACACTACACAATCTCGTGCCCATACCCGGTAACAAATTGTTACCCGGTTATTTAGAGTGTTTTGCATAATGCTGACTTGGAATTGGATTGGATCGAGTTAATCGGAACACATTTGGCATGACGGGATTCGAATTTGACCATGTTTTCGACTTGATTTCCATCGGATTACATTATTTGCGCCACATTCACCATCAAATAACAAACATAATACGTTCCAATCAACATTATTGGATTTGCATCATCGCGAAGTTTCCACTTTTAATCAAAAAATCAGTAAAATACTCTTCTATAGAAGAGTAATGGTGTATTTATTATGAACAATCCCATTTTTGCCTGGCTCTGTTATACATCTAATTTCGTTTAGAGAAGACCATTCCAAGCTTGCAAAAATTTACGGCGTCAGCCTTAGTCAAATCTGAGATAAAGTTCCGTTATCATTAAATTATAATGACAAATTAGTGTACCAAATTATCAACTTTGCATTTTTGTGAAATTGTACAAAAATACAATTTTCCATGCTGAGCAAGTTAAAAATTTGCAAATTATAACGATTTACCGACAACAATAACGCGACGTCCACTCGGATATTAAAATCGACATCAAAATAGCGACTGATTTGTTATTTTCGTTATAAAAAATAATTTCTAAATTCTGAAAGTCGCCATCACAATATAATGACAAATTGTCAAATTAGTAATATTTTTATGCCCCCTCTTATTTTTTAATTGCAAACACTATATTTTTAAACTCTGAATAAATCTTTAAATTGCAGAAAACAAGCGAATAATTGTCCTAAATCTGGACAAATTTTGTAAATCCATCAATAATTCAAAAGGAGCAAAGGAACATCTTGGTTTTATCAGTGCCCTCGTGCTTACTTTCAGCCAGGGATGGAATTCGGGTATTGGATTGGTTGGGTGAAAGTAAGTGAAAGCAAACAGAAAACTTTTTGCACATAAATTGCTCAACTGTATTTACATCGGAGTGAAAGTCCTAGAGTCAAAATCAACAATGGTCGACAGGGTTTTTCATAAAGTAGATTTTCCTAAGGGGAAATTTTACCAGGGTGAAAAGATAAGGTGGTCGAAATTATGTGATTAAAACCAGAGTTGGACAATTTTTCTAATCCGTCCGAACCGAATCCGAATATTTCGGGTGAAAAAAAATATCCAAACCGAACCTAATGATTCGGATTCGGTTCGGGTGAATACTTTATTCGAAAGTTGGATAACCGACTCAACTCACTCTTATTAAAACCAAACCATTTGTATATCCAGAATTCCGAAAGCTAAATTTTTAAAATTGTATAATTTAAAAAACTGAGTAAAGGTTACTGAAAAATGTTGTGGGCATTAAAATTAGAGCCATTTTTAATTACATTATGATTTTAGTGCAAACAAAAATTATCCGATGAACTTCAAAAAAGAAAAAAAAAAGAAAAATTTTGAGTTTTCAAAGGTACGTAAAATTTTCCCCCAATAATGGATTCACTGTTTGTCTGAGTGAAAGTTATATTTGCCTGAATTTTGTATTATTATGCAATGATTATGCCCCGTTTGAAATACATTTCATATGAATTTGAAATTCTTAAAAGTTGTGCTAAATAAAAGATCAAAACTTGACGAATGTTTTTAACCAGTACGCGAAACACTGTAATCTTCACATACTCGACGAGACGATGAATTTGCTGATATCGAAAACTTTTTTTACCATCTTTCTCCTCTTTGTTGGCACAAGAGAATGAAGTGAAGCAGCAAAAAGAGGACGGTTGAATGGATGGGTGCGTACTTGATATTTCCGGTTGTTCAACCTTACATCTTCTTCAAGAAGGGGGACTTTTTTTCATTAAATGGTAATCTGGCGAGGTGACCTCGGATAATGTCTTGTAAAGCTTGGGACACATTTTTAGGACACAAAATCAGGGTGACCATCAATTTTGAAGAGTTTTTTTAACCAGAAAAAGCAATTCCTTAAGGTGAAAGTAATACTTCCGTATTAATTTGGACACAAGTTGTGCTTATCAAAAATTAATTTGAACGCATATTGAGTTTCTTACTGATAAGGTACAAATTTAGAGCAGGCATTATAATTTTTTTGTGTAAAAATGCCATTAAAAATATGTGTGTACATATTTTAAGCAATTTCAATCCGAAGATTATAGATAGACATGCTTTAAATGTAGCCACAAAGATTTAATAAATTATAAATATGAACAATTATCAAAGTTTGCGAGTTTTTCAAACCGTTCAAACTTTTTATACAGATTATATTAATAAAACATAACACAGGTCACTATATCGCCAACTACTAATGCGAGGAAATAAGTTTTTTCATCTCACTGCATAAAATTAATTATCAACAGGAAATCCTATTCAAAATATTGTGTTACTAACCGTTTAAGTAGATTTTAGTTTAGTTGTGGATCCACTATTGTCTCTTCTGGGGGGATATAATTTCGCAATTTTTTCTCAGTTTGTTCTCGATGGGAGTTTTTATTCTCCCGGAATTAATCTGCAAGTAAAGAAAAGCATATTTCAGAGAGAGCGGAACACAACAATCATCCCGCATTGGGAAACATTACAAATAACGTTTCTACAAGAAAGCATGACACAATGAGGTTTCGAAAACCTTGTTCCTAAATATTTTAATTCCTTTAGACAAAAATGGAAATTGGGACTGTTGTGCACGTCCCCTTCTAATACTACCGCATTTACACATCACTTTTGTCTCTAATTTACTTTAAAGACAACGCTGTACAAAAGGCGTTAGGACATGGTTTTGACGAATTTGCGGGTGAATATCTCTGGCGGAGAGTTGAATTTTGAACTAATTTTTGGTCAGTTGCAAGATAATACTCTCAAAAAGATATATTTAAAATTTTAGGCCGATAGCTTTATAAATGCCCCCTCCAGTGCCCCCAGAGTTGGAAGGAGCCAAAAAAACACTTTCCAAACTGAATTACTCATATAGCATGATAACCTAAGAGGTCAGAGGTGAATGATTGTTAATATTACAACCCTAGATAATTATTTTATGTAATACTAAAAGAATCTGCAACGAATCACTTAACTTTGGCCCTCTATCATCGCTAATAGTTTGCCCAACAAGTGATAAATAAAACCGTGCACGGGAAAATTGACCTGCTGACCTTGAAACGGGACCCAGCGGGTCAAATGAAGATTGATCGTAAAGCTGAAGGTGTCCCAAACAATATTTAAAAAAACAATCAGGATTTTGGGTAAACAGTTTTGTTGAAGGACCCGAGGTAATCAGCTGTCGCGGAATCCTAAAAAACTTGGCAACTTATTGGGAAAATGAATGGTCAAATTTTTTTGAAAATAAATTTTAATAACTTTTTTGTGTCCCCTGCCGCAGAACTATTTTACCTACAAGGTACAAGTAACAAAATAACAAAATTATTGCGTTTTGGTTAGTTAAATTATTTCTGAAGTTCGACCTCGATAACGACGGGAACTTTTCCAAAAATTTTATGGAGGTTGATGAAAACTGATTTCGTGGGGTGTAACCACTTATCAGATTTTTATCAAAAGTACTTACAGTGCAATATACTGTGTGTGCCTTGAATAAAAACAACATTTGAGATTTTTAGCATCACAGTCCTAAAATGTGGGGGCCTTAAAAGTCGAGGAGTTGCGTTCACGAGAGCATTCCATTAGGACAAGTATGAAGTTAGACTACAAAAGGGACTTAAAAGATAAGCATGATACAAAAGTGGTTTTATATAGTGAAAAGCATGCTAAGTCCCTTGATAATAGTCACAAAGACGATTTTTGCACCAGGACCTCAGAAAAAAATATTTTGTTCAACGCCATTTTAGAAGAACACTGGTTTGGAAAACTAAAAAAGGACACCTCCCCAGATTTGACCTTGCCTCATTTCACAGAGTACACAAAATCGGAAGCCAGATATGCTTACCTATAGTTTGAGACATGGGCTTTCACATAAAAAATGTTAGAAATCTCTACAACTAAAAACCATCCCGCAATTAAGGTATGCATTCGTCAAAACCATGTCCTAACGCCTTTTGTAGGCCAAGTTGTACGAGAACAGGACAAGTTTTATTTTAAAATCTACTTAGCAAGACGAACTGTACAATTATGCAAGTTTTTGTCCCTCTCAAGAAAGCAGAGTGAGTTGAAATAACACCCAAAATTTAAACCAAGGCTGAGAAATGGAGTGTTTTATTTACTCCTCAAAATTGAAAACAAAGAATGCATTATTCTTGAAAAGTAAAGTTTTGGGTTGTTTTGAAGTTGGTGAAATACGTACGAGTCGATCAGACCAGTGACGAGCCACAACATTGGACATTAGGGGTTTACAATGCGAAGACTTATAAGTGTACCGACCACTTATAAGTCGTTTCCACTTTTAAGCGACACTGCGCGAGCATGCGCAGTAGCTAGTATTTCACTTATAAGTGATCGGAAAATAAGTCTCCTGGATTGACTTTTTTCTGGAATTAGACACTTATTTCGCTTGTTTTGAGCATCAGCTGCCGTTGAAATTTCACTCACTCAAATTTGCTGCAGGGGACTTGCTGCTCAATAAATTATTTTTCAATCGAGTTTTAGTAGGTATTCAAGTTATTTAAAATAGTGTATAATTGAAATTGGTTTAATTACGATAGTGCAGTGAAATATTTAAAACCGGGATTTCAAATGAGAGTGAAGATTAAATTTTCAACCATTCCACGTCATAAATATCATGTAATTGATATGTTAGGCAAGAATTCAAAGGTTGTACCTAGTGTTGAAATTTTAGGTATTTTTAAAGCTACTACTGTTTGTTTTTGCAATGATTTTGACGTTTAATGCAATTCGATCGCCTGAATTGCATACAACATAAAATTTAAACAAAAAGTGGAGCATTCAAAGAGCACTCACTTATAATTGATTTATAGAAATCACTTATAATTTGCGGGGAAACAGAAATAAGTCGATTGTAAACCCCTATTGTTTTCCCACATGGAAAACTTTTCAGAAACATTTGTTCCCAATCTTGTGGGCCTGTCTATTAAATGGGATCGTCATCTTCACAAAAGTTTGGTAGTACGGGCAGACATTTGTGTAAGTAGATATTTTTGTCCATTATTGTGTAACGGAGTTTGAAATGAAATGGACGTGGGTGGATCATGACAAACTTTTGCAAGATGTTGTTACCGGTTTGGTAAAATTATAATAATTCATTATATAAGACGGGGTAAAGATGTTTTTACAAAAAGTTGCTTTTTGACCAATTTCTGCGCACAAAACATGACGATGTATTTTTTACCAATATTCGGTTAGCAATGTTTGTTTACCAAAACAGGTTTATTGTAAAAAAAATGCTCAAATGGGAAGTGGTTTGTCAATATTTTTTGTAATTTTTGAAATTTTCGAAATTTTAAAAAATTGTAACCGCACCAGTATTACCAGAAAATCTCATTCATTACTACGGTTTAAGTTAAACCGTTTAACTTGTGATGAAAGTATTTATTCTGTTCAACTCATTGCGTAATTCGGTATCCATTTTTTGATGAGATTTGTAACGGAGTAAAATAAATGATGCAAAGAAATCAGGGCACGGTTCAGACTTAATATTTTTGACCCTTCGAAGTCACGGCCACCCACGCGCGACGAAACTTGGAACATCACGAGGAGAAAACGAATTTGAAACCAAACTAGTTTTTCAGAAGTCGTATTGATGGAATAATGCCACAACAGGGTTGCAAAGCGAAGAATCCGTAAAACTTTTTCGATTGGCTTGACTTGATGAATTTTGAAGCCGATTTTTTTATTTACCTTGCAGTTGCTGTTGTTTAAAATTCATTTTAGATTAATTTTTGAATTAGCTGTTTTTGGTGGTATTAATAGCTGTAGAAATTTTTACCATTTTTTTAGTAATTTCTGTGCATTGGTTTTAATTAAAATTTGATTATAATATTTTAGCTAAAGTTTGTGCGCACGAAGGTAAGATAAACTTTATAAAATTAGTTGATCAATAATATTATTAATTTATTACAATGACACAACCACTCAGATGGGATTATATTTCAACGATTAAAATAAATTTTATCGTCTTATATTTTGTGAATATTGCGGCAATTCACGCATTCCTTGGTACCTTGTAAAATCGGTAAGTTTTGTAAAATAATTTTACAAAGTTACACATATATAATAAAAAGACGCCCTTGATGTGCGTAAATTCAGAAAATTTGTTAACTATTTTTTCGTTAGAATTATTTATATTTTTTAATTTAGGTGTTTTATTTGTATAGTCTTTATGCCTCCTTATTATCCAAAACCTTATATAATTTCCACAATTTGTGAAACCCTGTCACGCGTAGGCTACCCTTTTTCCCTGCGTAATAGAAACGGTGGCTTAGCTCTCGCAGTACGTGGTCCTTCATAATGATCTTAATTTCGTAAGATTTGTTTGTTTCTCAAGGGAATTCAATCACTTGAAAAAATAATCATCAACTTCCTGCTCCACTAGAAATGTGGACTTGTATTAAACATAAATATCGACAGTAACCCTTGACCTTCTTCTCACGAGCAGAAACGGCCGTGCTAACAGGATGTTCCGATTTTAGTGAGATTTTGATATTATAAGCATACCCCGGAAAAATATTTTTATACCCTACCCTACTCATGTTGAGCTCAACACGAGTAGGGTAGGATAAAAAAATATTTGTCCGGGGTATGATTATAAGATAGGGCCAGTTGAGACATCTAGTTTGTACGGTCTCCTCGTGAATGTTGATTTAAATAAGAAAAGTGAAACGTTAAAAGTAAATCTGTTAAGATAACATCACACCAAAAATAAATGTTAGATGATAAGTTTTAATCAATAAATAAGTAGGATTGATTGGTACGTATGTGTTTAATATTTATTTTAAAATGGGCCGTGCATAAAGAATGAGGGTTTGTCCTGGGGCAAAGGTCATGAGGTCATATTATCCTAGCAAAGTTAATTATAAAGTAGGACATATAAGAAACAAGTGCAAAGTAAAGTCTTCGAAAATTTCTTCGAAAATTTTGACATGATTTCTGCACGTTTGCTTGATAATAATTGGTTAAATGTTCCTTGTACATATTGCTAACATTATGGAAATCATGAGAAAATAAGATTAGGATTTGGTGTGTGATGTACTTATCCAAGTGTAAGTTATTGAAGAAATGTTTTTTTTTCTAAATTTTGCGAAAACAAGGTTGCGCAATTAAAATTCCAAAAGCACATATTTTTGTAATTTAGATTTGCAGTTAATAAACCAAGATATTATGTTTTCGTTTTAACCTACACAACCGTCCATTCCATCCACGGATTTACAAAGATTTCTAATTTCCCCTAGTTTCGGGCAAAGCAGATTTTGTTAAAATTTAAAACCAGCCAAAATGTGAAATCATATTTTGTACAATTTCTACTTTACACTGGTGCGGTTTTTTGGCGAATAACGAATCAATTGGAAGTAGAACCCTTTTCTGCAACTTTTTTTTGTTTATTTTTCGGTA